TTTTTTATTTGTTATAGGTACAGGGTTTCAATCAAAAGCCAACTACAGATATGGTATGTTCAGCATGAAGATTAAATTAGCTGGTGGTGATTCTGCTGGTGTTGTCACCACCTTTTATGTAAGTATCAATCTTCATATTACATATCCATGAACTTCAAATTCTAAATTTCCATCTTCCTTTTAAATAATTTGTGCGTTCTCGTATAGCTTTGATGATCTGTTGAACATTTGGGGTTACAAAATTACTTGAAAACAAAATCAAGTTGTTAATTTACAATTTTATATGCAGATGTGTTCTGAAAGGGAAGCTGGACCACATAGAGATGAAATAGATTTTGAGTTCATAGGAAATAGAACTGGACAACCATACTCTTTACAGACAAATATATATAAAAATGGAGGTGGAGGAAGGGAAATGAGACACAACTTATGGTTTGATCCAACTCAAGATTTCCATACTTACTCTATTCTATGGAACAATCACCGCATTGTGTAAGAATTTAACCCCTTTTCTTAATTTGGTTTTTTATATGCACTTTACTAAAAATGTTAAATATTTGTTTTTATGCAGGTTTTTTGTTGATAATATTCCCATTAGGGTTTACAGAAACATCTTCAGAAGAAACAACTTCTTCCCTAACAAGAAGCCAATGTACTTGTTTTCATCAATATGGAATGCAGAAGCTTGGGCTACAAGAGGTGGACTTGATAAAATAAATTGGGCATATGCTCCATTTGTATCTTCTTACAAGGATTATCGAGTTGATGGTTGTGAATGGAATGCACCTAACCCTGTTTGTGCCCATACTACTAACCAACATTGGTGGGATCAATATAATGCTTGGCACTTTACAGAAAATCAGAAAAATGATTTTCTTTGGTCTCAGAAATTTGTCACTTATGATTATTGTAAAAATAGACAAATGCATCCCAGAATACCTAGTGAGTGTTTATTAAATCAATTGAAATGATCATAGTATGGAATAAAATTTACACATTGTATTTGCATTTTTTTTTTTTAACAAATAAAATTTAAAAACATCGAACAACCACCAACGATTTGTCCAAATGATTTTTGTTATCAAATTTACGTCAAAAGTAATTATTTTCTTAGTTATGATATGTGAGAATTATGTTAAGCCATAACAATTACTAACTATTCCATAAAACCATCTAGACTATTTTATTGGTTGTGATATGTGAGAATTATTTTTATTTTTTTATAGTTTTTCGCTTAGAAACTACTTCATGTATTAACTGAAATCAAATCCAAACCATTAAAAATCACAATCTACGTATGAACGACCTGATAAGCGCCTAAAAGTGATTATTTACACCCTTAAAATGTATATGACTGTCGTAAGTTATGCTATAAAGTGATATAATATGCTAGGTATTATTTGCATTATGTGTTTGCAGGTTCGTTCCACCCGAAAAAGCTTAAAGTGTAGAAAAAGAACCAGAAAAACAGTTTCAAGTAGCCAACTTTAATAAAATAAACGAAAATGTTAGAATACTCCGGTTGGTGATCACAAAGATGAATCAGAAATTTCTCACTGAGCACTTCAAGGGTGTTTGGAAATATCTATAAAAACAATTTAGAAACCAGTGAAACGAGAGCCACAAAAATTTGTCAGACCTCACTTTTACTGGACAAAAAGGGCAATTTAGTTATCATACATTTACATGCATTTTCTTGACAAATCCAATTGTAGTCGTTTCCATTCATGTTAAGGTCCCTACCTGTGAAATATCAAGTCTAAAAGATTTGTACAACTGGTGGACCCAAACCTTTTTTCTTTCCAAGTCCAAGTACGTAGTTTAGGGTTTGTATGACTCCTCCTCTATATAAGGGAGGTTGTCCATGAATTAAACAATCCTTTGGTGCATGCATGAGCTATGTAAGAGTTCACTTGAGTTTCTTGTAGAGTTCCACGAATTTTAGCATGCATGAGCTATTCTAGAGCATGGTCTCTTGTAAAGTTCTTTGCAACTTTTAGGGTTTTCTAGGTTTAGAAGATAATGTAATTGAATACTATTCAAGTTTTTTCAATATAATTCAGTTTTCTCTACCGCAATTAGTTTCTTTAGTTTCTTTATGTCTTTTGTTTGTTATTTCATCATGAATTCATCACCATCATCCATCTCTATGTGATGTTAAACGTTTCATTGGGTGATGCGAAGCCGTTCTAGGTAAAAAACAAGTCTCTTTTTATAACATGTTTTGATTTTTATGCATGAAAAAGTAATTATCTTAGGATTGATCACCTTAGGATAGTTTTTACTTACTTTTTTTCATGTTAATATAAAAGAGAGATATCTGTCTACATATTAAGACTTTCCCCATACTTCATGTGCTTTAGTTAGGTAATTTACTGCTCGAGAGAGAGAAGTTAACTAATTATACTTTCATTGACGTGTATCCATTAGAGATGGGTCATAAGTTATTATTATATGTTTTGAGGCCCTTAGGCTCTTGTAAAAAAATTCTCTACAAAGGTGTTATTAGTGACCTAAGGTGGGTAAATTTTGTAGGTCAAGAGGAAAGCAATTTACCACCAATTAGACTGCTAGAGATAGATTCAATTAGATATCATGGAAACGAGACTTGGTTGATAATGCTTGTAACTTGTCTAGAATCATGGAGCAAACACTAATTCCATCCCATATTGAAAAACCGAATTTTATTTGCATTAAGAGTAACTTAGTTTAATTGTTGTTTTAATCACTTTTCCAACGAAAACTAATTTCAAGATCATGACATTCATATTCCCTTTTCATAAAAACAACATCTTGCCTATTTTCCGTAAACAATCTTCGTCATACAATTCACCCAATCCTAAGGATGAGTGGATTGATACCCGAGGCTTATTTCTATACTAGTTCTTAGATAAGTTTAGTTTTAAACCACACACAAAGGGAAAAACTTTTGGTTTACACTAAGATCGCTAGTTTTGGCGTAAATAAAATTGTCGTCGTTGCCGCTCGAAGGAGAATTTAGGCGACGACGTAGGTTGTTTATTTAGAGTAGTCAAAGCATCCCACAACACCACCCTCCTTTCAAAATAATAATAATAAAAAAAAACCGAAAAATCAACAAATCTTACAAAGTCAAAAATCACTAGTCAGATGGCACCACCTGACAAGAGTATACAGACTAGCTAGCGTTGTGCGCCTACGCAAAACCTGACAAATTTTTATTGCTAGCTAAACTTTGCTGATTGATGCCAATTTTTTTTTTAATTTTTTTGATATTTTTTGCGAAGGTATGCATCTCCATACACTTCGATTATTTCAATATCTTTTGAATTGATTCACAAACGCGTAGTTCGAGGGACAAAGGTTCCTATGTTCTAAGAACCTTGAAGCTCCCATAAGAGGAATTAAATTCACTTGTATGATTGATTTTTCGTTGCGTGTACTGTTTGCATAAGTTAGACTAGTTAGTTTAGTTTATTTTTATAATTAGTTAGTACAATTTACCTTAGTTGTTTGATTAGCATAGTATAACGTTACTTAGATCAATTTACTTATTAGTTACTTTTAGTAGTTAATTAATAAGTTTATGCTTTTACGTTCTGGTATGTCATTTACTACAGTTGTTAAAACTAATTTAACCGCTAGTTTTACACCTTTAGATAGTAGTCCGGTAGATTTTAATTTCCACAATAGTTCTATAGGTCTAGCTAATTGCTCTTTTGACCTAGATAACCCTATTAGTGAACTTATATCTAGCTGAAATGGCTCAACCTGAGAAGCTTTTGCAAGATCTTTTCGCACCTTTAGAAATCGGAACTACGAACTGCATTGTTTTGCCTAACTCGAAGATAAAGCTGATTGTAAACTTCTCTTTGGCCTCATTAATATATTAATATTGCCAAATTTTACTGGTCATGAGCGTGAAGGCCCTTATACTCACTTATAATAAATAGTCCGTATATGCTCAACCCGAAATGAAACTAAACTAGGCATACACAGTATTCGTTTAAGGTTATTTTTGCTATATCTACATGATAAAGCGTCTAAATGATTACACTTTTTAGCTGGAAATTCTATTCATACATAGGATCAAATGAACTCTAAATTCCTTACCAAATTCTATTCCATTACTGAACCATAGAGTTTAAGAATAAAATCCAAACCGTTAGGCAGTAATATACTGAGAATTCTACGAAGCTTGGGAAAGATTCGGAGAATTATGAAGTCAATGCCCACATCATCAAATTTGTCAATAAACTCTACTTCAGTGTTTTTACAATGCTCTTAATCCCACAACTCACAATGATTGATTTAATGAACAGTGTTACCTTCCTTAATAAAACCACAACTCAAACTAATGACTTCTTCATCAAGCTTGCTGATAATTCTCAACACTGGGGGAATAATCATAATCCTATTCCCAAAGTTAATGAATTCAAAAATTCGGCTGAGATAGAAATAGATGGAGAAGTGAAAACTTTAATATAATATTTGGCTAAAAAAGTAGAAGCTCTCTGTTTACAAAAGTAACCAGCCAAATCCCATAACATTAATGAAATATGTCAAGTTTGTTCGAGAACCGATCATAACGAAAACAATTATCCTTTTGTTTCTTATAAACAAGAACAAGCTAACTGTAAGAACTAATGCTCAACCTCAGAGTTACTCTTATAATCTTACATGGGCTACTACTCATACTAGTTTTAGATGAGGAAACACAAGTAATCCTAGACCATTCATTCAAGACACTAGAACCTTTACAAGAAACAATATAAACACAAACTTACCTTGATTTATACCACGCAACAATAATTTTTACAATTATGGGAATCAAATGACTAAACCTAATATCCATCTGGTTCAAACTCAACCTAACCTGAGCAATCTAAATCTAATATTTAAGCTATTTTAATGAATATCATAGAACACGAATCTACCCAACATAAAATCATTAAAAAGCTTGAAAAGAAATTTGCTCGAACAGATGTCGAACAAGAAAAAAGAAAATTCTCGAGTCAACCTACAGCCAAGCTTAGACCAAATCAAAAAGTTTTTGAATTCTTAACTAAAGAACTTGAAATGAAAAACAAAGAAATAATGGTCGTAACTATTTACGATAAGGAAAAGAATATAACAATAAAGAAGTAATGCCACTTGAATATGACTTCAAGTCCTCTGAATTCAAGTCCTAAAATTAACCCACTAATGTTGATAAACCTAGTTCTAATGAATTACTTAGGATAAAAAATTTACGACTCAAAAAGATAAAAATTTAGCTTCCTCTAGTAAAAATCAGGATAAAAACAAAGAAAAAAAATGGAAGGATTACGTAAGTATATCCCTAAGGCACCCTATCCACATATGTTGCTAGGTCGAAAGGAAGAACAATAAAAACTAACCTATTAATATACCATTTCTCACCGCTCTGAAGAATATGCCTCAACATGTTAAGTTCCTAAACAGTGTTGTACGGTAAAAACGAACTAATGTTCCTAAAGACACATTTTTCGCCGAGCAAATATGTAAACCCCCTCTTTAAATTTGACTTCATGTTTAAATTTGGAGTTATCAGTAATTAACTACAAGTCTTGGACCCAAGGGTTTAGTTATAAATAATCAAAAGTTAAGGACTAAAGTTAACTAATGATAAGTTGTTGACATAACCCACGTTGCCGACCTATAGTCATTTTTATAAATAAGGGTTACAAAAGGTTTTTGCAGAAAGGAAAGTTCAAAAGAAAGAAGAAATAAAAATAGGGAGTGGCGGCGGCTGTGTTTTTGGAAAATAAGAGTAGCAGTGGGAGACGATCGAGAAATACGAGTGAGTGGATGTTATTTTTCTTTGGTTATACAAATATATCGGTTGATTTCTCGAAACTTTAAAAAATACTAAAAGGAATAGAAGTATAAAATGCTGACTTTGAATTGTCCGACTCATTTTTGATAAAATGATGTGCATAGAACAACAGTGTGTGATAGGTTATTAATTCAATATATATATATA